GGGTATTTGGGTATTTTTGATGTGTTGTTTTCCCTCTGCTGAGTTACATTAGAATTTTGAGGTTCCATTTTTCCAGAATGAGGTGCACGGTTGAGGTACATTTGGTTTGGGCACCCTGCAGAGTTAATACCTTGTACTACCCCCTTTGGCAAGCTGACACCTGACAGTGTCAGGGACTGTTCACAATCATTGTGTGGAAAGACCAGGTGTTGTCAATCTCAGAGGTTTTAAATGCCCAGACTCATCTGGCCTTGCTCCAATAATCAGCACCATGGGTTCTTCAAAGCAGTTGTCTAGAGCACTGAAACTGAAAATAGTTGACGCTCACAAAGCAGGAGAAGGCTATAAGAAGATAGCAAAGCGTATAACTAAGAACAAACAGCGCAAAACTAGACTCAATACAGAAATACAATCACAAAAAACATAATAAACATGGAATCATCAGATAAAGGGTCAGGGTACAAAACACCACACTATCCACAACAGTTAGGGAATGGATGATTACTAAGTTGCACACTAAGCCCATTTAGCCACTTGGCAACATGGGGCACAGAGCAAAACACAAGGACTAGTGAATATACTAAGCACAGGATCGAATGGAAAGATCAGCAACCCCTGCTGGCCAAACAGGGAAAAAACAGACAAGACAGGACAAGGAAGGGACTGATCCTGACCAGGCTGTATTTGTGAATCCATGTAATGTGTGCTTTATAGAAAATGTACATTATATGGGCATAAGTATTAGGACACCTAGCTATTATACCTACAGGGACATTAACATCTCATTCTATATCCATAGGCATCAGTATGGAGTTGGTCGCCCCTTTGCAGCTATAACAGCTGCCATTCTTCTGGGAAGGCTTTCCACAACATTTTGGAGTATGTCTGTGGGTTGCTGCCCATTCACCCAGAAGAGCATTTGTGAAGTCAGGCACTGATGTTGGACCCAAAGGCCTGGCTCGCAATCTCCTTTCTAGTTCATCCCAAAGGTTTTTGATGGGGTTGAGGTCAGGGCTCTGTACAGGCCAGTTAAGACTTTCTACACCAAACTTATCCAACCATGTCTTTTTAGAACTTGCTTTGTGCACCGGGGCACAGTCATGCTAGAATAGATAAGGGCCTTCCCCAAACTGTTCCCACAAAGTTGGAAGCATGGAATTGTCCAAAATGTCTTGGTATGCTGAATCATGAAGAGTTCCCTTCACTGGACCAAAGGGGCCTAGCCCAACCCCTAAAAAATGACCCCATACCGTTATCTTTCTTCCACCAAACTTTACAGTTGGCACAATGCAGTCAGGCAGGTAATGTTCTCCTGGCATCTGTCAAACCCAGACTCGTCCATCAGTCTGCCAGACAGAGAAGCATGATTCATCACTCCATATTTCCAGTGCTCCAGAGTCCAGTGGCAGTGTGCTTTACATCACTCCATACAGCGCTTGGCATTGCCCTTCGTGATGTTTGGCTTGCATACAGCTGCTCAGCCATGGGGGCCCATTCCATGAAGCTCTCGGTGCACAGCTTTAGTGCTGGAGTTAATGCTAAAAGTAGTATGGAATTTTTAAGTTATTGAGTCAACAGAGCATTGGCGACTTTTATGTACTATGTGCCTCATCACTCGGTGACCCCCCCTCTCTTACTTTATGGGGTTATGCCACTTCATGACTGAGTTTCTGTTTTTCCTAAACGCTTCCACTTTGCAATAATACCACTGACAGTTAACCATGGAATATCTATCAGGAAAGAATTTCACTGACTGACTGATTGCAAAGGTGGCATCTTATGACAGTACCATGCTTGAATTCACTGAGCACTTCAGAATTAACTTTTTTTTCACTGACACTTCAGAATTTTTTCATAAATGTTTGCAAAACTGACTGATGGCCAGGTGCTTGATTTTATATAACTGTGGCAAAGCGTCAGAATGAAACACCTGAATTCAATAATTAAGAGGTGTGTCCTAATATTTTTGTCCATATACAGTGGTATGAAAAACTTTGGGCACCCCTGATAATATTCATACTTTTCCTTTATGAATCACTGATTGTTTGGATCAGCAGTTTCAGGTAAATACACTGCTCAAAAAAATTAAAGGAACACTTTGAAAACACATAAGATCTCAATGGGGGAAAAAAAAAAACATGCTGGATATCTATACTGATACGGACTGGGTGATGTGTTAGCAGCAAAAGGATGCCACATGGTTTGATGGAAATGAAAATTATCAACCTACAGCGGCTGAATTCAAAGGCACACCGAAAATCAAAGTGAAAAAATGATGCGGCAGGCTAGTCCATTTTGCCGAAATTTCATTGTAGCAACTCAAAATCGTACTCAGTAGTTTGTATGGCCCCCACGTGCTTGTACAGTATGCATGCTTGACAATGTCAGGGCTGCTCCTAATGAGACCACGGATGGTGTCCTGGGGGGATCTCCTCCCAGATCTGGACTAGGGCATCACTGAGCTCCTGGACAGTCTGAGGTGCAACCTGGTGGTGTCAGATGGACTGAAACATAATGTCCCAGAGGTGTTCTATTGGACTTAGGTCAGGCGAGCGTGGGGGCTGTTAGAGTGAAAATTGTATATACCTTATCATATTAAGTGTGTACGTGCAAAACATATTATCAG